AAGAGCAGGTCTAACTATGTTTACACATGTTTGCACCTTGCCTAAAAGAGAAAGGATATTATTAGGAGATCCACCCAGATATGGCAACAGTATTCCATACAAGGCCGGATTTAAGATTTATTGAAATAGAAAATAGAATTCAGAGTAAGAAAGTGTCAAGCTTGATAAAGAGATGCAACCTTAGCAGATGCTAATTTTGCAATGGGTTTGATATATGGTTTCCAAGAGAGATCGGAAGTTAGAGTTAGTCCTAGAAGATTAATGGTAGATGACTCATCCAGTTCATTACAGTTCATAAATATAGGAAGATCTGAATTATTGCAGAAACGATTGGCTGAAAAAAATTGAGTTTTATCTGAATTAAAGTTCACCAGCCACTGTGAGCCCCATGCTGTTGCAGAAGTAAAATCCTTTTTAAGCTCAAATGCCCTCTTCAAGCAATCAGAGAGAGTTGGCTTCTTATCATGACAAGAATAAATGGTAGCATTATCAGCGAACAATGCCACCTTAGATGTGAAAATATCTGGAAAATTGTTAATGTAAATTGAAAAGAGTATAGGGCCAAGGATTGAACCTTGAGGAACCCCTGAAGTTACAGAAAATGAAGAAGAGTGCTGTCCATCGAGGACAACTTTCATACTACAATTGGAAAGGAAGGATTCAATAATCTTAAAGATGTTACCAGATACACCGTAAGAAGAAAGCTTAAGGAGAAGACAAGCATGCCAAACTTTATCAAAAGCTTTAGAAATGTCAAGAGCGATGGCCTTAACCTCTCCACCTTTATCTAGGAAGAAGACTTATGGGACGGTAGTGATTCAAATCGGTCGGTAGACAAATCAGATTGCTCTCCAGAATTTTTAAAAATAGGGATAACAGATGCTGCATTCCAGCAGGCTGGAAAACAAGACTCTGATAAGCTTTTGTTAAATAGTTTTAAAAGTATAGGTGTCAGCTTCGGAAAATACTTCTGCAAGACTATAACAGGTATGTTGTCTGTACCATAAGCTGTAGAAGAGTCTAAGCAGGAAATCACTTTAGATACAAAAGTTGAAGTGATACCAATGTCAAGCAATGGATCAACCTGATGGTCTTTTATATCAGGTAGAACACAACTAGTGAAATCATGAGATGATATTGATGAAAAGTTCTTAGCAAACAATTCAGCTTTGTCTTTAGGTGAGGTGACAAAATCTAAACCATACAAGAGATGTGGAATAACAGATTTGCCCTTATTATTAATACTTTTAAAGACTCTCCAGAAAACACTAGGGCCTAATTTTTGTGATAAAATATAAAATTTTATGATCTGAGAATAGCGGGCTTTGACCTTAAACAAAACCTTTTTACAATGTTTTCTAGTAATAATAAACAGGCGTCTGTTTTCTGGAGAATTGTTTTGCTGATAGATATGGAAGTAACGGTTTCGATCGGAAATTGCAGTAGCACAATGTGAGGAAAACCATGGAAAAGAGTGAAGCTTGACCTGGAATTGTTGAAAGGGAAAAGATTCCATGCCGGCCTGAATCCATGAAGTTATGTCAGAGACATGTTTATCAGCAGGAAGACGAAATATTTCTATCCAAGGGCGTCACTAAGAAAATCACATAAAGAGTCCCAGTCAGCTTTAAGGTAGTTGTAAGAGGTACGATGATAGGGGGATTCAGATGATGAAGAAGAATGAGATAATAGTTTTAGAGAGATCAAACCGTGATCGGAGGCACCTAAGGGTAAGTGTGGAGAAACTGAGCACTGACTAGGATCAGAAACAAGACATACGTCGAGTAGAGAAGGTAAATGATTCGGGTTATTTGGAAAGCGAGTTGGAAAGTTGACTGTTTGAATTAGGGATTGAGAAAAGCAAAAGTTGTGAGCCTTAATGCCTGCAGAGTCACTGACACTAGGGCCAAGCCATTCAGTGTGATGAACATTGAAGTCACTGACAACAACAATATTGGCTGATGGATAAAGAGAGAGGGCTTGGTCAATATGATCAGAAATAACATCAAGAAGAGTGCAGTCTCGAGATGAGGGAGAGCGATATAGAACAAAGAGAAAAGGGATAGAGTGAAGTGGTGCTAAACGAAAGTACATAAAAGAATAGTCTGTGGATTTAAATGTAGTTTCCCAACAAATGGGTGAGTTCTTATGAATGTAAATGCCCAGCCCACGCATGTGAATATTGGAGTGTTAATGAATTAAAGGAGGATAACCATCAACACTAAGATCACAAGATGAGACAGTCGAATTCAAATTGGTCTCGCAAAGAGCAAGTAGGTCTGGTGAACTTTATAAGTGATAAGACTCAACAGAAGAAAATTTACTTCAAAGACCACGAACATTAGTGAACAATATGTTTAAAGAACTTGGTGATGACAATGGTATTTTGTGTTTTATAGTTTTTGGTACTTTATTAATTTTTAAATTTGTTAAAGAACTTGTCTCAAAGCATAGACAGTGCTCAGTACATTGTTTAATTGCTCAAGCAATTACCTCATTACTATTTATAAACCCTAAGCCATAACAAAGGGATCCAAATGTTGCCTTGACAATGCACACCAAAAGTACAAACAGGGACACCATTTATGCGCAACATGGTACTGTTAATACTCTAATATTTTTCAGCTGTTGATGTAATCAGTCTCTTTGAGAGTTACCACAGTGTTTGGGAAACCTGACTACCAGCTGGCCTCAGAACTATAAAACTGAGTTTTAGAGCTGTACTCTCAATATGAAATAATAGAATAAGTTGCCTAGTTATAAATACAGAGACATAAACAAAACCCATGCATTGAGTCAAGAAGATACAGCATTCAACATCCTAAA